GGGGGGGGAAGAAAGAAAAAAAAAAAAGAAAACCCCAAAAAACGAAAAACCGCGACCTCAACTCGTTCCCAATCGTTTCAGTCTGTAAATATAACCATTTAAATATTTAAGGATAGATACAATGTGGCTGCCTAGGGACCACCACCAGCACTCAGTTACATGTGCTGCCTGTTCTGAAGTCCGGCTTTTTTTGGCGAAAGACTAATGGTACAAATGATTTGCAAAGTTTCCACAGTAAACTCTGTGATGTAACTGCTTTTCATAACTAACTCTCGATGTCTATGTAAGAGTGAATCTCAATAATTTACTCTGGCCAATCGATAGCACTTTCCTGTGAGACTGCAGAAAGTGGGTGGTAGATTGCAATCAAGAAATGATGTCAAATATACATGAACTTTCCTGTGTTAGGAAGGATGCAAGTAGATATTTTCAGTCATATTTGGAAATGGCAGCTTTTCTTGCCTCCCTTCTTTTGTTTCTGCAGGTAAAGGAAGGTTAGGGAAATTAGTTTAGATTTGGTATGAGGGTCCATCCCACTGTACCCCATACATATGTACAGTTATTGTCTGACAAAATATAAGACAAATTTAGAGAAGCTATCCTGAAATAGTTTTAGAATTACTGCCAGCATTTCCAGGATCCTAAAGGCCCCAATGATCTGATACCAACAGGCCAGTGCCCAGGCCCCCTAGTCTCACACCAACCTGAACTGACTTACTAACACCCCTGAGACGATCCAATATCCTTACCTTCTTTCAAATATAACTTACCTTTGACTCTTTAAACATTTATTGAGCATTACAATATATTATTCTGAATATATTATTTCATCTTTGCAACAGTTCCATGAAGGTGGTTGTTATACACCCATTTTACAGACACAGTTTAGAGAGAGACAAATAGCTGTCCAAAGTCACATACTTACTGAGCAGAAAAGCCGAAATTAAAAATCAGGTCTGTCTCACACTGAAGACTGAACGTTTCCTTAACAATGTAAACTTGATTCCTCCAGGATGACTTTCTGTTACACTAACTTTGTTCAATCCTCCATTTGATGTCCCTTCAATACTTAGTATTCCGGAAACCTTTTTTTCCCTGATGTATTTTCTCACTAGAGTGTAAGTTATTATGCTTCTTTCATATCTTCCCATAGCTACAAGTTCAAAGCTCTGCAATCATCCATTCATTTATCATTTATCTGACATCAACTAAGTGTACAATGCAGCTAAGGATACAAAGATGGATTACTAGCTGATCTCTGCTCACATGGAATTTGCATTCTTGTAGAGAAGATGAGGTAAAGACACAAGGAACTTTAAACAAGGCAGAGTCAGATAATGAATATAGGAATGCTTAGCTAACTTAATAAGTGTTAGATATTTAATAACTGGTATTTAATAAATAAAAAGGAAAATTCTTACTCAGTGGCATTTGAGAGGGTCTTAGAGGATGGACAAGATTTTGCTTGGTGAAGATGGGTGTCAGGGAAGGATAAATAGACATTTACACAGAACTCTTTAAAAATATATATATTTTTCACTTGCCAGAGGGTGTGTACACTTGCCCGAGAGAGACAGAGAGAAGAAGAAAGCACATGTCTACCCACAATGGGGGCATGGTCACATTACAATCTTGTAGGACTTTGGGGCATGCACACACACATCTGACATATTTTTAAAGCCACTGGGGCCAGGATTCAAATGATGGTTGGCCATGTGGGATCCTGCTCTCTGAACCACTAGGCTATGAGGGTAGGCCTAGCAAAGAGATTCCTACAGCAGTAGTGTGTAGGAAAGATTAGTCATTGAGAGACTGGAGATGGTGAGAGTGCCGCAATGGTCCAGAAAAGAAGTGATAATCGGGGAACCAGCAGTTAGTGCAATGGCTATGTTGCTGGACTCCCACGTAGTCGACCCCAGTTCGCTTCCCGGACCCGGTGGCTTAAAACTCACGCCGAGTGCGTGTGCGTGCGTGCCCAAGATCCCAAAAGGAGAATGGAGGAGAAGGGATTGCAGTGTGGCCATCCCCCCTGGGGGGTGATTTCTCGCTTTCTGTCTCTCTGTCTGTCTGGCGAGTGCACGTGCCCTATAGTGAAAACCTCTCCAAAAAAAAAAAAAAGAAGTGATAATGGGCCAGTCTGTGGCGTGGTGGTTAAGGCAGTTGCACCCCCACATAACTGACTGTGTGGTTTGAGTCCCAGACCTGGTGGCTTGAAAAAAAAAATACCTTGTGTGTGTGCATGCCCAAAATCCCAAAAGGAAGGAGGGATGGAGGAAAAGGGATTACAGCATGACCATACTCTCCATAGTGTGTGTGTGTGTGTGTGTGTGTGTGTGTGTGTAGATGCTTTCTCACTCTCTCTCTTTGGAAAGCTTGCACACCCTTTGACAAATAAAAGAAAGAAGAAGGAGAAGAAGGAGAAATGATGATTTCAACTAGGTTAAGGGCAATGGGAACTGAGAGGGAGAAACAATGCATGGGGTAGGATCAGCAGGACGTCCTTACTAATTGGATATTGGTGAGAATGAGGAGAATGGAAGAGAGCTTCTGAGAACTCTTAAAGTCTGGATAAAGAAAAAGCTAGTAGTACCAGTATAAAAATGAAGGCAATTAGGAGGAAGAACTCATAGGGTAGGGCAGAAGGGACATAGGAGTCTGATTTTTAAAACTGTTCAAATGTGCTGAGATTTATAAATCAGTGTGTTAAGCAATTCTGCTGAGATACACACACACACACACACACACACACACACACACACTGTTCTACATAAAGAAGAGATAACTGAAGTCATGAGAGTGGTTGAGACAGCCAAGGGAAAATGGCTTTCTCCATATGGATTTCTTCCTTTTTAATTTAATTTAATTTAATTTAATTTAATTTTAAAACTGCTGCATGGCATGTGTACTCACCAGAAAGAGAGAGAGAGAGAGAACCCTCCATTGGGCATGATCACATCACAATGTCTTCTCCCTTGCTCCTTCCTTTTGTGATTTTAGGCACAAGTATGTGCCTGGCATATTTCTCAAACTGTCAGGTCCAGGACTTGAACCACACAGTTTGCCATGTGGGATACAGATGCTTTAACCACCATGACATTGAATGGCCTCATAGGGATTTTTAATGGTCATATCTAACTTAACATTTTCAAAATAAAACTCATATTTCTGCATAAAAGCTTTTTTTCTCCCCATCTCTCAGAGCTCAGTAAAGATACCAACATCCCTCCAGTTTCCTAAGGCAGAAACCTAGCAGTCATTTTAATTCTTCATTTCCTTCATCTTCAGATCCGATCCATTAGCAATTTCCATCAGTTCCATCTCTAAGATATGCCTTAAGTACACCCAATTTTCTCCCTCTTTACTGCCACCATGCTAGTCTGGGCACTATGATCACTCACTTGAACTTGCTGCAATATCTACTCGGTGCCTACTTTTACTTTTGGTTGCACCCATTCTCATGGACTGCAGGGCAGCAAAAACTAACAACTAGATCAGATCATGCCACTAAAACCTGCCCCACACCATGGTGAGAACCTTTCAGCTACAGAGAATAATGTAACTTTTTAGAAATACCTGTCTGTGGGGGTTTGAAGGAGATAAAGATACCAGAAAGAAACAGAAAAGGACTTTCTGGGTTAGTGAGACAGTAGTACAATCTCACAGAAAACAGGTGAGAAGAGAGTTTCAAGACGTATGAGATAATAGCAATGCTATATATTGCTAAAGAGGAAAAGACCCCTTTCACCATTAGAAACTCACTGATGCCCTAAGGAGTGAGAGGACAGGATATATCAGTGGAAGCCAGATTATAAAAGATTAAGAAGTAAAGCCAACACTTAAATATAGGTTCCTCTTTTTTTAAAAAAACATTCTTTCTTTAGGTTTTTGCCGTAAGACATGTGTGCTTGCCAGAGAGATAGAGAGAGACAGGGAGAAGAAAAGTGAGAAATCACCATGTAAGGAAGATGGCCATGCTGCAATTCCTTCTCCATTCTCGGGATTTGAGGCACAAATGCACATGCACCTGGCATGAGTTTCAAGCCACCAGATCCAGGACTTGAACCTCAGTCGACGATGGGGGCGAGTCCAGCATCTTAACCACCATGCCACTTGCTGGCCTAAGTATAGCTTCCAATATTTCCCAAAGATTTCTTCCATTTGAAGAAATATGATTGTGAAAAGAAAGGAGTTAGTCTATCAGCCTGGGGCATGCTGGAGCTTAGAATTGTTTCTTAGGTTAAGAGAGAATTGTACATATTTATAGACAGAAGAGGAGGGAGACTATGGGGCTGTAGGAATTAATTTAAAGGTGAGATTATGATAGGCCAGCAACAGAGGAAATGGAACTTGACTTGGGCCTTCAGGAATAGTGGAAGGAAAAGGGTAGGATATAGACTGGCCTACCAACACCCTAAATTCTGGACCTCAATCAGATGACATGAAAATGGGTTGTATTATGTGTTCTTTCAGATATAGCAAAAGGCAGCTGAAACACTTCAACACTTGAATACAGCTATTAAAATGGAAACAGTATCCTAGGATTGCACACAATGTGGCAAGATGAGTCAACTATGGCGAAAGATAAAATTGTTGCACAATGGTCTGGATTTGGCAGTGCATTCTCCCAGCAGATATCCCAGGGAGGCTGGACTCTTACTTACAATAAAAACAGAGCATAAACCATGTCACAGATCCCTAACCTCAATTTTCCACATGTAAAATACCTATAAGACCATTAATTTGGGAAAGAACACTCCTCTCGAAGTACTGGATTTTCTACTGGAGTATTCGATGTCAGAAGAAGTAGTACTGAATCTTGGCTCCATAGCTTGCTAGGATGCTAGGGCAAGTTACTTGACTCATTTTCCTCAACCATAATTGCTAAAGGTAACGTTTGAACCAGCAAGGTCAGGTTGGGCAGTGCTGCTTCTTTTGGCCCTCTCCCCTGTCTTTGCTTGCTGGCAGAAGTAGGCAGAAGGGAAAGCAAACACATTCAAACGGCACTACCCCCTTTGCCACCTTCTTTGTTTGTTTTATAATTTGTTCACTGATGCTTCAACTGTATTGAACATATTGACTCTTGTTTTTATACCACTTCCTAAAAATATCTCTTCTTCGAAGAGTATAGTTGTTAAGAATGTGAACTCTAAAAGTCAGACTGCGTGGATTCAAATCCTAGCTCTAGCACTTATTAGCAAATTGCTCTTAGACAGTTTGTTTAAACTCTCGGTGCCCCAGTTCTCTCACCTATAAGGTGGGGTGCCAACAATATCAACCTCACATGGAAATTGTGAAGAAAAGGTAGCCCATGTAAAGTGCCTATGTAACAATATCTGGCATTTGGTAAATACTCAAATATTGGTTATTTGCTTTAAGCACAATTGGTCTAATTTGGTTTTTTTTTTTTTTTTTTTTTTTTTTTTTTTTTTTTTTTTTTTTTTGGGTAATGTGTCCCTCCCCCCAAGGTTATCCTTACCTCTATACTACGACTGCAAGAGTACAACTAGTGCTTTGAGAACAGGTCCTTGGATTTCAGGCGTAAACTTAAAAGAAATGACCTTCTGAGACCAGCAGTTAGCGTAATGGCTATGTCGCTGGACTCCCATGTAGTCGACCACAGTTCGCGTCCTGGACCTGGTGGCTTAAAACTCACGCCGGGCACATGTGTGTGCGTGCCCAAGATCCTGAGAGGAGAATGGAGGAGAAGGGATTGCGGCGTGGCCATCCCCCCTGGGGGGTGATTTCTCGCTTTCTGTCTCTCTGTCTCTCTCTGTCTGGCGAGCACATGCGCCCTATAGCAAAAACCTCTCCAAAAAAAAAAAAAGACCTTCTGCTAAATCTAGTGACCATATCATCAAAACTGGGACACTTTTGAAAGTGACAGGGAGTGTTAATAATTATGCCAGAGAGCCAGGCATAAATGAGGATGATTTTGGATGAACCACCACCTTGGGTCACTAAAGTTAAACAGGAAATAAAGACTAAACATGGAAAATGCCCTATTTATTTCCACTACATTAGTATAGACAGTAGGCATTTTGTAAGTTGAAAAAAGGATGGTAGAGGTTTTGTGAGGTGAAGTATGGCTCAGAACAACCACCTCTGTTTTACCAGTTGCATAAAATTCCCAGAATGTAGTAAAATTAACCAGATGGGACTATAGAGACACTATTCATCCTGCTGGATAAATCTTCTGTTGTTACAGAAAAGGCTAACGACTACTATAAGATTCTCCCAAATATGTATAATGCTTAGGAGAACAAACTTTTCAAGCACCTTCCAGTAGTGCAGAAACAGAAGCACCATTTATACACAATTGAAATCTGGGTAAAAATCTGTTTTATTCATTCATCAGAACAGTTCCCTAAAGACATCAATAAGCCCATTTGAATTTAGTGACCTTCATTTAAGTGGATATGTATTTAAATGACAAAATACGTATTTTTATCAATTTATCAGATGTTTCTCTACATGTATTATCTACCATATTATATAGTGTACAATATACGAGGTATGTATGAATATTATTTTACTTTGCCCCAATTAATGAACTTTGACTATACTGTATAATTAAACATTATGTAAAATAAAGCCATGAAATAAACTCCAATCACAAATTAAAGATACATGTAAAGTTTTGTATAGTTGTACCAGACATGATTTAATTGGAAATTCTTATTCTTTATTCTATTTTCAAAACATAAGTGCTTTTAAAAAAAAGTCTAACATGTGTCATTAGTATCACACACTTAAAATGAACAAAATACAAGTAGAGTTTTCTTAAAAAGTTGCTTTAAAAGTTAGATACCACTGTATAGGGATCCTAGTGACAGACGACAGTAAACCCAGAGAAATATAGCCATCAGTGCCAGTTCAGACAAATGTGTATTGGAAGGAGTAGTAGTTTTCACGTGTGGCACTCAGATGCCCTCCCTGGGTTGGGATACACTTAGGGACAATGAAAAGACACTTTCAGAATAATTTGTAAATTTTCTTTAAAAGGGACCAGAAAATCATGTAACCAGAAAGCTACTTACTGTGCGTTTCTATTTGCCCTGAGAGATGTACTGAAAATTTGGCCATCCTCTCTCTGTTTTCACTGTGTGCTTTCTATCACTCTACTGTGCCCCCTGATTCAGAGTACTCAAAGATTGTCACTGGTTCTGTAAGAACTGCCTAGAGAGTCTCCCATCTGCACCATCCCAATTTCTATTCTTGGAAAACTCTTAAGAATCTGAAGAAAGAGGGCCAGCAGGAGGCACAGGGGTTAAGGTGCTGGAATCCCACATGGCCAATTGTGGTTCGATTCCTGGATCTGACAGTTTGAAAATCATGCTGGGCACGTGTGTGTGTGTGTGCCCAAAATCCCAGAAGGAGAACAGAGAAAAGGGACTGTGGCATGGCCATCCCCCAAGGGGATTATTTCTCACTTTCCCTCTCACTGTCTCTCTCTCTTTCTCTCTGTTGAGTGCACATGTCCTATGGGGCTTGGGGGGAACACAAACAAACAAGCTGAAGTAAAGAAGGGGATTGAAGCAGGAAGTCAATCTGACTACAAACAGGGAAATTAGCAGAGTCTCTACTCACAAACTGGAAGAAGGGAAGTTAGGACACAGATTTGTCAAGCAAGGCTACCTAGACATGGTACCAAGAAAGAGGAATGAAAGTATGCACATGTCCTATGGGGCTTGGGGGGAACACAAACAAACAAGCTGAAGTAAAGAAGGGGATTGAAGCAGGAAGTCAATCTGACTACAAACAGGGAAATTAGCAGAGTCTCTACTCACAAACTGGAAGAAGGGAAGTTAGGACACAGATTTGTCAAGCAAGGCTACCTAGACATGGTACCAAGAAAGAGGACTCAAAGTATTCCTCTACTGCCCTTTTGGTGTCAACCTGAAGCCACAGTCATAGCCCCTCTCTCTAAATGTAAATACAAGTAGATATACAGACATATCAAAACCACTTACAGTAGGGAAAATTCCCATGTATCCTTGAACACACACATGCACACACAAGTGTAGGTGTTTACCAGAAACACATATATGCCCACAAATACCAAGATATGAACACTGGAGATGTGAACACTAGAGATATGAACACTAGAATTAGGAAGTGAAGATATAAGTGGGAGAGTTCAAGAATAGATAGCATAGAGCAGAGAATTGAGAGAGGTGGCAGAAAGTGAAGAGGTCAGTGAGACAGAGATCAAGACAGAGAACAAGGGTGCTTTAAGAGCAGCTATCAACCAGATTGTTGGATTTATCTTTGCCAAAGAAAGAGGCCTCAATTGTTCTCTGTGTTGTGTGTAGAGCCCAGTTTTCAGAGGCAAAGATCAGGCGCACAAGGGTGTGTTTAAGGAACTAACCCACCTGTGATTCCCACTCAGCTCCCTATGTGTAAAACACTGCTCAGACATCTTCTTTTCTTCCCCTTCCTCTCAGGACTTAAGCTCCTGGCTCCATTTCTCTGGGTTATTCTGCATTTTCTGCTACAAATATAATGTCTGAGTATCAGCAATCTTCATAAAAATGTGATTTCAAGTATTGAAGTAGAAATCTCAAATATACATGTTGTGCTTGCATTTTCTGATATTTCCCCAAAGTGAGGGTGGACATTTTGTGTGCAAATACAGAGAGAGCAACCGTGGAGATAATTCTACACAGAAATGATGTCATCACCCAGTGTGAGGCAAACTGTGAGGAAAGAAGGAAACCATGATCCAGTACTCTATTTTCCAAAGAAAAGGCACTTAGAGTAGGTATTTCCAATTTATAGCAGCATAAAATCCAACAGTTTAGGGTTTACTCACTTGAAATAATGTCCCAAAGCACTCACCAATCAGACATACAATAAAATCACACATAAGAAAAACCAAACTTTAGGAATATTTTATTATTAATATCTGCTCCCCAAACAGGAGTTAGAAAACTAAGCTGGTAACAGATCTAGAGAATAAAAACACATGCAAACGCTTATAAACCTGGAAAAATTAGTCAACAATGAAAGGCCTGGTTGAGCATGTGCACACTGGTGATGAGCCTCCAGGTGAGGGTTCACTTCTTCTAAAGCAGTTCATCAGAAAAGTTCTCTCTTCTTGGAAGGGATGGGGTAGGAAGAGACAGGGTGGGAGTGATCAGGTGATAACATTTCAGTTCCATGCACAATCAACTGAGGCAGGGATCAGCTGTCAAAGGCTCCCAGTGGCCAGGATCCAAAGCCCTTATTGCATGGCACAGATGCTGTGGGGCAGGAACTCCTGCACATAGGTGGCAGCTGCCTTGGAGAGGTAGGGCATGGTCCCAACCCTGCCACTGGGTGCACTGTCATACAGAAGAGTACAGATGCCAGATGCGGGATCCTTTGCCAACATTATATCATCTGCGCCGAGGGTTTTCTGTTTGTTTTTTAAAAAGCAGGAGAACACAGGGAGAAAAGAAAATTACTAATCTCACTAAGTCAAGTCCAAATTAATATAACTCAGAGACTTCTCCCCCTCACCAATTAGATGGATCCTAGACTATTTAGCCAGGAATGAATCAGGGCCATGTATAAAGGGATGAAAATATGTTTCCATATATTCATTTTTCACTAGGTCCCAAAATCATCCAAATTATTTGAAAATGAATTGTTTCGAGCTTTTCCCACTACAATGAATTATTTTTTTGTTTTCTTGTTTTTTTTTTTTTTTTTTTTTTGTGTTTTCCTATAGGGGTGGCCAGCCAGCCAGAGAGAGACAGAGAGATAGAAAGCGAGAAATCACCCCCAGGGGGGATGGCCACGCTGCAATCCCTTCTCCTCCATTCTCCTCTCGGGATCTTGGGCACGCACGCACACGCGCCCGGCGTGAGTTTAAGCCGCCGGGTCCAGGACTCGAACCGCGGTTGACTATGTGGGAGTCCAGCGACACAGTCATTACGCCAACTGGTGGTCCCGCTACAATGAATTTTTGAAAGGTAAACATAATAGTTAATTAAATAAGTTGTACCTGTTAAGAGACAGATGTTGTTAACACTTACAAATCACCCTAGTGGGACTGTGGTCGGACTCCTAGTGCTACTCATTTCAGCTTGTATTCTGTTGTCTTGCACTTGATCATTTCTTTCTAACTCAACTTAATTCAAATAGACTGCAAGCTTGCCAAGGCTATAGTCTATGCCTAAGAGGGATCACATTTTCTGATACGCAGACAGACAGCAGTTTAGAAACTTAAAATTAGCACTTTCCTAGAAAATCCTGGATATTTTTTGTATCCCTCACAGTGCTTAGTAAAATGAAATGTTTACTATACATTTTTAAATTTCCTTTTGGACAACGGTGCATGTTCTTCATCTTATGTGCTCCATATACACTTAATCTAGGTAACATCTGGGACGCTTTCAAGAAATAGTATGTACATATATTTTTAATGGCTAGAGGGTGTGTGCACTTGTGAGAGAGAGAGAGAGAGAGAGAGAGAGAAAGAAGGGAAAAGCATCCCGCATGGGGCATGATCACATTGCAATCTCTTCCTCTCCATTTCTCCATCCTACTGGGATTTGGGGCACACACACATGCCTGACATGTTTTTTCTTTTTTTTTTGGAGAGGTTTTTGCTATATGGTGCATGTGCTCGCCAGAAAGACAGAGAGACATAAAACGAAAAATCACCCCCCAGGGGGGATGGCGATGGTCACGCCGCAATCCCTTCTCCTCCATTCTCCTCTCAGGATCTTGGGCATGTACGCACATGCGCCCGGTGTGAGTTTAAGGCACCGGGTCTGGGACTTGAACTGTGGTTGACTCCATGGGAGTTCAGCGACATAGCCATTATGCCAACTGCTGGTCCTGTGACATGTTTTTTCAAGACACTGGGGCTGAGATTCAATCTATTCAAGTTGCTCATATGGGATCTGGCTCCCTTAACTACTAGGCTATGGGGCCAGCCCAAGAAATAATTTATATTTTTTAATATGGTATATTTCCTTAGAAGAAAACATATGAAGAAAATAGGAAAAAGTGTAGAAATTAAAGATTCACTCTAATAAGACAGGTCTTCAAAAAGTTAGTGAAAAACCTGTATTATGGGAACCAGCAGTTAGCGTAATGGCTATGTCGCTGGACTCCCACGTAGTCGACCGCGGTTCGTGTCCCGGACCCGGTGGCTTAAAACTCACGCCGGGCGCGTGTGCGTGCGTGCCCAAGATCCTGAGAGGAGAATGGAGGAGAAGGGATTGCGGCGTGACCATCCCCCCTGGGGGGTGATTTCTCGCTTTCTGTCTCTATGTCTCTCT